CCGACCTGCAGCAGTGGGTACGGGGGCCACTATAAGGGCGTTAAGCTGGGGGGCGCCTGGCTGGAAGGCTCCGAACAGGTGGACGCCGTCCTTGGCGACTAGGCGGCGTCCTGGGCGTCTGCTCGGCGTCCTGGACGCCTGGACGGCGTCCTGGGAGGGTGGACGCCGACCTGGGCGTCTGCTCGGCGTCCCGGGCGCCTGGACGCCGACCTGGGCGCCTGGACGGCGTCCTGGGCGAGTGGACGCCGACCTGGGCGCCTAGACGCCGACCTCGGCGCCTGGACGGCGTCCTGGGCTAGTGGATGCCGACCTGGACGCCAGGACGCCGACCCTGGGACGCCGGGTTTGGTGTAGCCGGCGACCGACTGGGCTGGACGACCAGGCGGGGTTGCCCGGTCGTCCGGGATACCCGGGCGACGTGTGCGAAAGTCGCCGGGATGGTTTCTGCGAAGGTGACCTCGGGGGTGGTATCCCGAGGTCGACGTGGCTGGTGGGCGTAGTCGCTGGCGTGGAGTCTGCTAGGCGTCTGCGCTGTGCTCGTGACGAGGTGTGGAGCACCAACCAGCTGCACGCACCTGCGAAGTAGGTGCACCGTTGTCCTGCGGGTGCAACGCTGTGCAGCCGACTTGCTGCAGCGTTGGCGCACCGCAGACTTGCGACGTTGGCAAGCCGCTACTTTGCTGCGCTGGAGCGGTGCGAGCTCTGCTGCGCTGGACCGCGGTCGACCATGCTGCGCTGGAAGTCGACCAGCAGCTGTGCTAGCTCTGATGTAGCCTTGCATGCCAATGTTGTTGCCATCATTCTGAACATCATTGTTGTGAACTTTTGCTAGTGAAACTCTTGCCAATTTTCCCCGTGAATGCGCAAGTAGTGTGAACACAGGCAAACGACTAAGGAACGAACGCAGAGATCACTCCTACCTCGTGCCTAGCCCGTAGTCTAGCTCCCGTTGACAGAGTTATCTCCGCATGAAGTTGACTACAGCGAGGACGAAGACCGAGCGACACAAATCGTTATCGAAGACGGTTGAAAGCAGGAAGAATTCGCAGTGCAAGCACAGGAAAAATGATTCAAACAGTTATTGTGGCGCCTATCGTTATCAAACCGCACGGTTGGGTTTCTCGATCTAGATTAGCCCTAAGGGTAATGCGTCCCCTCAGAGTACATGACTAGCTAGAACCTTTCACATTCCACTGTATTCCTATATAAACCCTTGTACCGCATTTATTTGTCACTTCTGTCGAGATTCAAATCTCCTTCTTCTGATAGGGTCTGTACCCGTCTTCAGTAAGCAACCTTCCGCTGCTACACTACCTGCGATCAATCTGAGACGATCCTATATATCCGTCTTTTCATATTTCAACACCTTGGTCCCTCCGTTCATTACACACACACATATACACACACATCTACATAACTTTTGCATGACATTGTATCTGCGTGGGTCTGACACACTTACTGGAGGAATATTTTCAACAATCAGGAACCAGAAACTGCGTGCCGAGTATAATGTACCTGGGATGTAGGTGAGGAGAATGAGGATGCAGACGAGGTAATAGTCAATGGCGAAGTTGACCTTGTTGGGCATGTCAAATGAGAACGTGTGCGATGCCTGTCAGGGTGAATGGGGGATATAAATGGTAGTACACTCGGAGTGAGGAAAAATATGAGTATGGAGTGAAAGAAATATAATTATGAAAAACCGGCTCGTGGGCCATAGAAAATCAGGTGATACATCAATTTCCAAATTGGAACGTGGGGCCAAATACAATGTGAGAACAGCCCAAGGAAAGAGCTGGAGATGAGAGAAGCAGGTGAGAAGGAAAATCGCCCCAGCATGCCATGCCCCATGTCCCCGTCTGAGGTGCACATTGAGATAACAGTTGGTGAATGGAGTGAGAGCAAGAGGTTGTGATAGGGCATGGCTAGTATAAAAGCAGGGAGTGGGTTTGGAGATGCATTGGCATATAAAAACAGATGCTGTGTGGGGACACATTAAATGCATAAAAACAGGGAAATTCGTGAAGACACCTTGAGGGTATAAAAATCGTAAGAGTGTGTGGGAATACCTTGAAGGACATTGCAGAGAGAGTGAGCGGGAGACATAGTGAAGAGTGTGGCAGGGCGATAGAAAGAGAGAGAGAGGGGCGGACCTTGAGGTAGGGCAGGGCGAGGAAGGCGAGGCCCACTTCTCCGATGATGCTCGAGGGGTAGAGATGTAGAACATGCTGTACCTGGTGGTGGGCAGGGAGAAGAGGGAAGAGAGATATGGCAGAGGGGGGGAAGGGCGGGAGGGGTGCAAAGCAGCATGGATGAGAGTGAGGGATGGAGGGTTGCCCGAGGGGTAGAGCATATAGAACATGGTGTACCTGTTGTGCGCAGTGTGGGAGGCCAGCGGGCAGGAGATATGGAAGAGAGGAGGGAGACGGCAGCGTAGAAGGAATGAAGGCTGGTGGGTAAAAGGTGGAGTACATGGAACATGCTATGGCTTGTGGGTAGGGAGAAGGGGGGCAAGAGATGGGGGGTTCGGATGGGAAGAAGCGGGGGGCGATGACCTAGCAGCATGGATGGAATGAGGGTTGGTGGGTTAAGGTAGAGAACAGAGGATAGGGGGAGAAGCAATCAGTGGTCCAACCAGAGCAAATGGAGAAGGGAGGAGGGGTGAGAAGGCTGGAAGAGGGACAAGGTGCGGTTTTCGGAGAAGGCGGAGGTTGAGATTTGAGGGGTAGGTGAGGATGTCAAAACATTGTATTGTGTAGGCTGTAGTGGGGTAGCCTATATGGGGTACAACCCAGTTTAGGGTTAGTACTTGTACCAAACCCTGTCATAGTTCATTCATTCCTGCTGCTCATTCTAACATGGCATCAGAGCAGGTCCTGTCCCAGGACCGTTCTCGTTAGGGCCCACCGATCGAACCCTGCCCGTCAAGCTGCCCCACCACACGCGCATGCCCTGCCCTGCCCTGCGTTGCGCCGCCCCGCGCACGCCCTGCCCTGCGTCGCGCCGCCCCGCGCACGCCCTGCCCTGCCCCGCGTCGCACGCCCCGCGCATGCCCCTGCTGCCCGTCGCGTCGCGCGCCCCTGCTGCCCGTCGCGTCGCGCGCCCCTGCTGCCCGTCGCGCCGCGTGCCCCTGCTGCCCGTCACGTCGCGTCGCCCGTGCGGACTGCCCCAGCCCGCCGCGTCGCCCGTACGCCATGCCCTGGCCCGTCGCGTCGCCCGTGCGGGTTGCCTCAGCCCGTCGCGTCGCCCGTCCACCCTGCCCCTGACCGTCACGTCGTCCGTGCGGGCTGCCTCAGCCCGTCTCGTCGCCCGTCCACCCTGCCCCTGCCCGTCACGTCGCCACTGCAGCCCGCGCTTGCCTCTGCAGCCCACGCTCGCCCCTGCAGCCGCGCTCGCCCCTGCAGCCCGCGCTCGCCCCTGCAGCCGCGCTCGCCCCTGCAGCCCGCGCTCGCCCCTGCAGCCCGCGCTCGCCCCTGCAGCCCGCGCTCGCCCCTGCAACCGCGCTCGCCCCTGCAGCCCGCGCTCGCCCCTGCAGCCGCGCTCGCCCCTGCAGCCCGCGCTCGCCCCTGCAGCCGCGCTCGCCCCTGCAGCCCGCGCTCGCCCCTGCAGCCGCGCTCGCCCCTGCAGCCCGCGCTCGCCCCTGCAGCCGCGCTCGCCCCTGCAGCCCGCGCTCGCCCCTGCAGCCCGCGCTCGCCCCTGCAGCCGCGCTCGCCCCTGCAGCCCGCGCTCGCCCCTGCAGCCGCGCTCGCCCCTGCAGCCGCGCTCGCCCTTGCAGCCCGCGCTAGCCCCTGCCGTCGCGCCGCCCTCCGCAACCCGCGCTCAGCTCTGCTGACCGACCGCCGCCCTCCTTGGTCGTGCACCGCCCATTTCTGGCCGTACGCCGTCCTGCCTTACCCTACAAGCTACTCTAGTGCCTGCTCGCCACCCTGCCTTCTTTGAGTGCTGCCCTGCTGGTCGCATGCCTCCTCGGTTTGCCCGCTATGACTTCTCTTCGTGGTAGCGGTGGGATTGGTGGCGGCGGTGGTGGTAGCAGTGGGAGTGGTGGCGGCGGCCGTAGTAGCAGTCGCGGTGGAGCTGTTCAGTGGGGAGTTTCTGGCGGTGGCCAGATGCAGCCGCAGCGGCGTCCGCGCGAGACCCTTACGTCTCAGCAGCTTCGTGAGTGGTTAGCTCAGCGTGACCCTGGATGTACACACGTCATTCGCACAGGTGATCGGGCTGGTTAGGTCTGCGGGACACATGGCCACACACAGTCCCGCTGCTTCGCCTATCTGAGCGACGCCTGGCGCGCAGAGTTTGGCGTCGCGGCTGAGCTCCCCCACTGGTTAGAGCTGCGTCGGCGCGGTGTGGATATATTTGCTCTAGACTATGACGCTATTCTTACGGCTATGTACGCTTTGCCTGCTGGTACTGAGGGTGACTGCTACCTGTGTGTGCCGCCCGACCCAGGTCTAGCGGCTGCTACTCTAGGTGCTAGCGAGTCTGCTCTCTCTGGTATAGAGGCTGCTACTCTAGGTGCTAGTGAGTCTGCTCCCTCTGGTACTGCGCCTGCTAAGGCCTTGCACACCTTCACACTTGACTCAGGTGCTTCGCGCTGTTTCTTTCGCGACAGTACCACAGTCACACCACTCCCTGCACCTGTTGCAGTCTCTCTGGCTGACCCCTCCAGGGGCCCAGTTCTTGCACGTTCCTCCACTGTTCTACCGTGTCCGGCGGTTCCGTCTAAGCCTGGGGGTGCTGCTTCTGGGGGTGCTGAGCCTGGGGGTGCTGCTTCTGGGGGTGCTGAGCCTGAGGGTGCTGAGCCTGGGGGTGCTGCGCCTGGGGGTGCTGCTTCTGGGGGTGCTGAGCCTGCGGGTGCTGAGCCTAGTGGAGCTGGGTCTACTGGTAGTCTTCCAGGTGCCTCACTCAGCGGCCTCCCCAGCGGGAGCCTCTCTCACCACAGCAGCTGCGCGAGTGGCTAGCACAGCGCACTCGCCTCCGGCGCAGCGCTACTGGAGCTGGAGATGCTAGAGCTGGAGGCACTGGAGCTGGAGGCGCTAGAGCTGGGGACGCTGGCGCAGGAGGGACTGGAGCTGGTAGCGCTGGAGCGGGAGGCCCTGGCACTAGAGGCGCTAGAGCTGGAGACCCTGGAGTTGAAGCCGCTGGAGCTGGAGGCGCTGGAGCTAGAGGCGCTGGAGGCGCTGGAGCTGGAGGCACTGGAGCTGGAGGAGCTGGAGCTGGAGGCGCTGGCACTGGAGGCGCTGGAGCCGGAGACACTGGAGTTGGAGGCGCTGGAGCTGGAGGCGCTGGAGCTGGAGGCGCTCGAGCTGGCACTTCTCGAGCTGGCGGTGCTAGCGCTGGAGGTACTGGAGCTGGAGGCCCTGTGCGGCAGCGACTGTTCTTCGAGCCGTCGCCGCAGCTGTCTTAGCTTCCGCCCGAGTCGGTCCTTCGCCAGGTTCTTAGTCTTCCTTCGTCCACTGCCCTTCCTCCTGACTCGCCGCTGCCTGCCCCGCCTCGTTACACTGGGCAGCCGGTCTCCCTTACAAAGTGTCGTGAGCCTGCGTCTCGTCCTGTCTCCCCTGTTAGCATTGTTCGCACCAATCGTCGTGTCCCGCGTCCGCGTCCTCCTCCTGTGCCAGGCACTCACACTATGGCACTTCGTCCCTCCACTGCTCCTCAGCGTGTCCCGCTACCGTCTCCTCCTGCGTCCTCTCTTCTTGAGCTTCCTGACCTTAAGTATGACCATGTTCTTTCTGCTAGCCCCACAGTCACGCGTCTTCTGGCTACAGTCGTCACTGACCCGTCGTTTGAGTCCACTACTGCGTCTGCCTTAGTCTCTGAGCTTGTTGACTTTGCTGCTGCATGTCGTCTAGACTACGCCGCTAGTCTTGTTGCTGAGTCTGAGTTTGAGTCTGAGTCTGTCTGTCCTCCGTCCGTCGGGGGTGAGTCTGCTCTTGGCACGGACGTCCTTGAGGACAGGCAGGAGGACTTTGACTCTCTTGCGACTGCTGTACCTCATCTCGTGGCCTGGCTGCTTGCACCTGAGGGAGACCCGGATGCACTGGACATCCCGACCCCGCGCTCTTACGCAGAGGCAATTACGGGTCCCTACTCAACTCAGTGGCAGACAGCCATGGACGCAGAGATGGCATCTTGGAAGTCCACAGGCACCTACGTCGACGAGGTTCCCCCTTCTGGGGCGAACATAGTCGATGGCATGTGGATTTTTAGGGTGAAGCGGCCGCCGGGTTCTCCGCCTGTTTTCAAGGCTCGTTACGTTGCACGAGGCTTCAGTCAGCGGCAGGGAGTTGACTTCTTCCAGACCTTCTCCCCTACCCCGAAGATGACCACTCTTCGGGTACTGCTGCACGTTGCCGCTCAGCGTGACTACGAGCTTCACTCTCTTGACTTCAGCACAGCGTTCTTGCAGGGCAGCCTGCACGAGGAGATCTGGCTGCGCCGCCCACCTTGCTTCACTGGGTCGTTCCCTCCTGGTACCCAGTGGAGCCTCCGACGGCCAGTCTACGGTCTCCGCCAGGCGCCTCGTGAGTGGCACGACACACTAAGGACGACACTTGCGGCTCTTGGGTTTGCTCCCTCCACTGCTGACCCGTCGCTGTTTCTTCGCACCGACACTTCTCTGCCGCCGTTCTACATCCTCGTGTACGTCGACGACTTGGTCTTTGCCACTACTGACACTGAGGCACTCGCCCTTGTGAAGTCGGAGCTGCATAAGAGACACACGTGCACAGACCTGGGTGAGCTGCGCAGCTACCTTGGCTTGCAGATCACCCGGGACAGAGCACGCCGCACCATTACCCTGACTCAGTCACACATGGTGCAGCAGGTCCTTCAGCGCTTCGACTTCCAGTACTCCTCACCACAGTCCACTCCTCTGTCTACACGTCACTCGCTCTCAGCTCCACCTTCGGACGAGTCCGTAGAGCCGAGTGGCCCGTACCAAGAGCTTGTGGGCTGCCTCATGTACTTGATGACCTGCACTCGACCTGACCTTGCGTACCCTCTTAGCATCCTAGCTCGCTACGTTGCGCCTGGGAGACACCGGCGAGAGCACTGGGAGGCTGCTAAGAGGGTGATGCGCTACTTGTGTAGTACATCAGGCATGGGGCTGGTGCTTGGAGGACGGGGTGACGTTGTCCTCACTGGACACTCAGACGCCTCTTGGGTTGACGACCTGGCTACGCAGCGGTCGTCACAGGGTTACACCTTCAGCCTTGGTTCCGGCTCTGTTTCTTGGCGGTCTACACGCTCTTCTTCTGTTCTCAGCTCCAGTTGTGAGGCTGAGATCTACGCCACAGCCATGGCTGCACAGGAGTTACGCTGGCTCACCTACCTGCTGACTGACTTGGGAGAGCCGCCTCGTTCTCCTCCAGTTCTGTACGGCGACAACAAGGCAGCCCTTGCCTTGTGTCAGGAGCACATACTGGAGCACAGAACGAAGCACATCGCTCTACGTTACTTTCTTGCTCGAGAGCTGCAGCAGCGTGGCCAGCTTCGTCTTGCTTACGTGGACACGCGGGCCAACACTGCTGATATATTCACCAAGGCACTTCCGCCTAGTGATCATCAGCGGCACTGCACTGCTCTAGGCCTCGTGCCTACGTTCTCTCACTTGCTCACTGCTTGACCTTGCTTGTACTGTGATCTTTATATATACCTGCATGCTTACACTTGCTAGGTAGTGATCACTGTACTACTTGCTTTGTTTTATATAACTATGCATGTGAACTGGCCATGTGGCCTTTGTGCTTGTGCTCGGAATGTGTGGTGACTTTGTGATCCACCCTGAGCTTGCTTTGCCTTTCTTTACTGGTCTTGTAACTACTAGTTCTCCCCCACTTTGCCTATGGGGGTGTGTTAAACTATATGTTATGTATATTGTGTAGGCTATAGTGGGGTAGCCACTAAGGGGTACAACCCTCCTAGGGTTTTCACATTTGTATCCCCTCGCTTCCTAGTCTAATCATTCTTGCCTAAACATCTCAACAATCAGCAACGATACAGCAGTCCCTTTCCTAACTCAACTACGACCATAACCCCATAGTGCTCATGACGTCGAACCCAAACAACCCGACACCACGTGCGCAAGAGTTTGCCGAAATTTCGCAAGCTGCCCAGACTCGCGCAGCAGACGCAATAAGGAAGGCCAACATCATCACTAAAAGGAATGCCGATCACCACCGCCGCCCAGTAACGCACCAGTCAAGAGATTACGTGTTACTCGACACCTAGAACTTACGCCTCCCCGTCGTACCGAATATCTGCTCACGTTACTGTGGTCTGTTTCACATAAGCCACATGATTACGCCTATCACCGCCCATCTCCTGCTACCTGCCGACTCGTATACCAGCCCATTATTCCACGTCAGCCTATTTCGCCCAAACATCCCAACCACACGCCAACTGCCACGCCATCGCCCACCATTGATAACGCGCCCTGCATTAGAGCCAATTGTCGACCCCGAAAAAATCTTGAGCCATCAAATTTGCCATCCCACGGGAGTCCGGAGGATAAAATTCCTCATTAGCTAGAATTACCGCAACCCCATGGAGGATAGCTGGGTGCCCATAGCCAACATCGAAAACCACCTTGTCCTCCAAGTGTACCTGCGAAGTTGGGGATTCCGCGATATACACGCAAATACATAGCGGAGGGGCTTTTTGAAGGGGGAAGGTAGTGTAAGGAGCACTCCTTACCGTGTCAGAATCTAGTGAGCAGGGAAAAAAATGACTAGGAACAAAGGAGATACAAGTATGAAACCCTTATGGGTTATCCCTTCTATGATGTACCCCAGTATAGCCTACAGTAAAAAAAAAGTGCATACATGTTTGACACACCCCCATAGGCGAAGCGGGGGACAACAAGCGGTCACAAGACTGGTCAAGAGAAGCAAACAAAGCAAAGCACAAGGTGGATCACAAGCAAGTGGCCACAAGGACAGGTCACAAACAGAGTTATAAAGAGCAAGCAGTACAGTGATCACAACCTAGCAAGAGAAAGCATGGAGGTACAGATATATAAAGATCACAATACAAGGCAAAGTCAAGGAATAAGCAAGTGAGGCAGAGTAGGCACAAGGCCTAGAGTAGTGCAGAAACGCTGATGATCACCAGACACAAGTGCCTTGGTGAAAATATCAGCAGTGTTGGCCCGTGAGGCCACGTAAGCAAGGCGAAGCTGACCACGCTGCTGCAACTCTCGTGCGAGGAAGTAACGCAGAGCTACATGCTTCGTTCTGTGCTCCAGTCTCTGCTCGTAACACAAGGCAAACATGGCCTCGTTGTCGACGTTGTGAGAGTACGACGGCTTATGCCAGCTATGCTTGCTTGCATTTACTTTATTATGCTATCACTAGCTTGGGTTTATTTTATCATGCATAGTTATGCTTGATTTCCTAGGTTAGGTGCATTCCTATATGTTATTATAGTTATAGCACCGAACCAGGTTACGTGTACCGAACTCAAGCCTTTCGGTTGCCACCGAATTGCTTTCTACCGAGTTCGGGAAGGTTCTGTTCGGGATGCTTCGCGACCCTTAGAACATTCGCGTAACACCTGGGTTACCTGCCTTGTGTCGAGACTATATATAGCCTCGTGTTGTACCCAGGTGAATCATTGAATTCAAACCCTCTTTTCTGTGCTCGATCCAAGATCCTTACAAGTGTACAGGACTGGAGGAGAATGAGGCCGCTCTCCCAAGTCGGTCAGCAGGTAGATCAACCACCGCAACTCCTGTGCAGCCATGGCCCCCGCGTAGATCTCAGCCTCCCAACTGAAGCTGCGAACAGAATTCGAGCAGGTAGACCTCCAAAAACTGAGCCGGAGCCAAGACTGAAGGTGTAACCCTGTGACGACCGCTGAGTCGCCTGGTCGTCAGCCCAAGAAGCGTCTGAGTGTCCAGTGAGTACAACTGAACCCCGTCCTCTAAGCACGAGCCCCATGCCCGATGTACTACACAGGTAGCGCAGCACCCTCCTAGCAGCCCGCTAGTGCTCTGGTTGGTGTCTCCCGGTTGCAAGGTAGCGTGCCAGGTTGCTGAGAGGGTATGCAAGGTCAGATCGAGTGCAGGTCATCAGGTACATGAGGCAACCCACAAGCTCTGGATACTGACCACTCGGCTCTACGGACTCGTTCGAAGGTGGAGCTGAGAGCGAGTGGCCTGTAGGCAGAGGAGTGGACTGTGGCGAGGAGAACCGGAAGCCGAAGCGCTGAAGGATCTGGTGCACCACCTGTGACCGAGTCAGAGTGATGGTGTGCCGTGCTCTGTCTCGGGTGATTTGCAAGTCGAGATAGCTACGCAGCTCACCTAGGTCAGTGCAGGTGTGTCTCTTCTGCAGCTTCGACTTCACAAGGTTTGTCTCTTCTGCAGCTTCGACTTCACAAGGGCCAGTGCCTCAGTGTCAGCAGTAGCAAAGACCAAGTCATCGACGTACACGAGGATGTAGAACGGCGGCAGAGAAGTGTCGGTGCGTAGAAACAGCGACAGGTCAGCAGTCGAAGGAGCAAACCCAAGAGCAGCAAGATTCGTCTTCAGTGTGTCGTGCCACTCGCGAGGCGCCTGGCGGAGACCGTAGACTGGCCGTCGGAGGCTCCACTGGGTACCCTCAGGAAACGACCCTGTGAACCAGATCTGAGCGACGCAGCCAGATCTCCTCGTGTAGGCTGCCCTGCAAGAAAGTTGTGCTGAAGTCAAGCGAGTGGAGCTCGTAGTCACGCTGTGTTGCAACGTGCAGTAATACTCGAAGAGTGGTCATCTTCGGGGTGGGAGAGAAGGTCTGGAAGAAGTCAACTCCTTGTCGCTGACTGAAGCCTCGTGCAACGTAACGGGCCTTGAAGACAGGCGGAGAACCCGGCGGCCGCTTCACCTTGAAAATCCACATGCCATCGACTATGTTCGCCCCAGGAGGGGGAACTGCATCGACGTAAGTGCATGTGGACTTCCAGGATGCCATCTCTGCATCCATGGCTGTCTGCCACTGAGAGGAGTAAGGACACGTGATCGCCTTTGCGTAAGAGCGCGGGGTCGGGATGTCTAGTGCATCCAGGTCTCCCTCAGGGGCAAGAAGCATGGCTGCGCGATGAGGTACAGCAGCCGCAAGACACTCGAGCTCAAACTGCCAGTCCTCAAGGACGTCCGTGCCAAGGGCACACTCACCCCCGACGGACGGAGGACAGTCAGACTCAGACTCAGTGACAAGACTCCCAAAGTAGTCGAGACGACACGCAGCAGCAAAGTCAACAAGCTAAGTAACTAAGGCAGGCGCAGTGGCAGACTCAAAAGTAGGGTCAGTGACAAGTGTAGTTAGAACACGCGTGACAGTAGGACTAGCAGCACGAGCAAGGTCAGACTCAGGGTGACGAACATCAGGAAGGGGGGACTCGGGAGGAGACGGTAGAGAAACACGCTGTGGAGCAGAGGAAGGACGAAGTGTGATAGTGTGAGTGTTGGGGACTGGTGGAGGACGAGGACGAGGAACACGACGAGCACCACGAACAATGCGAATAAGCGAGGTAGGACGAGACGCAGGCTCACGGTGCTCTGTTAGGGAGTTTGGCTGCTCAGTGTAAGGGGAAGGAGCATGCAGTGGGGAGTCCGGTAGTTAATGTGGCTGAGACGGGTCAGGCGGTGGACACAGTAAGGGAGGAGTAAGGCCAGTGGAAGACGGAAGACTAAGAAACTGGCGAAGCGCTGAGCCAGGTGGTGGTAGTGACGACTGCGTCTGCGACAAGAAAAACGGTCGCCGCTGCGCAGTACGCACAGTACCAGAGCCTCCAGCTCCAGTACCTCCAGCACCAGCACCTCTAACACCTCCAGCTCCAGTACCTCCAGCAGCTCCAGCTCCTCCAGTACCTCCAGCACCTCCAGCACCAGTATCTACATCTCCAGTGCCTCCATTACCTCCAGCATCAGGGCCTCCAGGCCCAGCGCCTCCAGCACCTCCAGTACCTCCAGCTCCGGTGCCCCCAGCACGAGTACCTCCAGCTCCAGCGCCTCCAGCACCAGCACCGCCAGCGCCAATAACTCCAATCTCAGCGCCTCCAGCACCTCCAATACCTCCAGCTCCGCCACCAGAACGAAACCGCCAAATAACCCACTCGCGAAGTTGCTGTGGCGAGGGAGACTCGTGCCGACGCGACTGCTGCTGCTGTCCACCCCCAGAACCTTCAGCAGGAGCACCAGCGACTCCACCACCACTAGGACGCTCAGCACCCCCAGGCCCAGCACCCCCAGACTCAGCACCCCCTGAACCAGCACCTCCAGTGTCACCACCCCTAGAGTCCGCACCCCCAGTGTCACCACCCTCAGCAGCACCGGAGTCTACAGCAACAGGCTGCAAAGGCGGCGAAGTCGGCCGAGGTGGAAAACCAGGAGGGGTCTCCAAGGGCGGTGAGCGGCGAGTGGCCGCTGTGTCGTCAACAGCAGCGTCACCCCGCTCATCTGGGCCAGAGGTGTCAGAGGTGACCTCCAAAGGCTCAACCAAGGAGGGTGGGTCTACCTGAGACACACATGAGGGAGCAGGGCCCTGCGGGGGGAGTGGGACTACCGAAGGGGGAACCAAGAAGAGAGGTGGGGGAGGGACGGGGGTAGTGCGGTGGGGGTAGAGACGGTAGAAGCAAACCGACTCG